GTACTTACATAACAAGTTTAGAAAGAGCAAATTTCCACACATTCTTTATTGATGATATTCAATATCTAATAATAATTTAGTACAATTTTCTGTCCTACAAGTCTACTAACGAGAAAAATTGAATTCTTTGGGAGAGATAACATTTTGCTTAATTGGGGTTCAAAGTTAGTGTTCCAGTCATCAAAATTGATTGCAAGTGATTTGATCTGTAATAAGATTTTATGTAGTGCATCTTTGAAAATAAATTTTCACACAACTGGGTACTGCCAAATAGTGATATCGTTCTAAAAGTATGCGATTTTAATTGAGCATATTCTCTCTTCAAAGACATTTGTAGAATTTCGTTAGGTCCTTCTTTTGATATTTTCCTTTTAAGTGTCATTTCGTTGCAGATAAATCACTTCCATTGAAGATTAGGTAGAAGCTCCTCAATTACACAGTTAAATGGGTTTTTATGTATGGAAATCTTTTTTGCACTTGAATTGAGGTCAGTTTGTATGGGATTGGAGATCTTGCTTCTCGTTTAACTTTTGACAGCACCAGAAGTATATTGAACCACTTGGCATTATTGTGATCAAAATATTAGGTGTTTTCAAAATGAAATTTAAGAAAAATTCTATATAAGCACTGTTTTTCTTTGCCTTTTAGGGCGAATTCATTAAAAAACATCATAAATTGACAGCAAACACTAACTTCCAAAGCCATTCAGTAATAGTGGTTGAGGGCAATTCTTCATAAAACTTTTATTCTCAGCTCTATGTTCAACCATCACTACAAAACTTCACCACTGCTGAAGTATTCAGCTTCTGTTCCTAACAAAATATCAGAAAACTGACAACAGCTAACTCCACAAGGATGAGCGACGTTCATTGTTGTTACTACTGATCCAGTAACACCTGGTAGATTCAAATAATTTCCACGCAGTACCACTGATGAATAATACAATAAATAACTGTAGGCATTAAACACTTTACGTTTTCACAAGCTTTGTGAATTTATACTTTCATACAAATTATACTTTTTTCTGCTCCATACACTTTTACCACCATCACGTATAACATATTTTAGCAGATTCCACTTCACATTATACTGAATTATTGTTTTATCAACATTTTTGAAAATACTCTTACCTGTGGTTGTTCCACGCAGACTATTGAAGACTAATTCTTCAGTCACTTAAAACAAAGCACGGACTTCCAGAACAAACAACCAAGCAGTATTAGTAACATCTGTTGACTAGTCAAGAACCAAAGTCAGTAGAGATGATTTGCTTTGGTTTTTACTCTACTGTTGCTCTTACTTCTAACGTCCTCATCTGTTCAAGCAGCTGTTCTCACCAAAAGGCTGACAATCTTAAATCTAGTGTCTCTGCATCTATGCGAATTTCTTCATCTATGCAAGCACACGAGATTGAATCAACTCAACATTGGTGAATGACTTTCTTCACATGGCTAATAAATAAGCCACTCAGAAACCTATATGTTTTTCCAGCCTTGTTTTTATTTTTTTGTTTTAGTGAAGAAATACAGCGGTGCTGAGATGTTTTATTTTAAACATGCTAAATTTTTCTGATCATTGTTTTCCCGTGAATTAGGAATATAGTGATGAGTGCTTAGTCTGGCAAGATGACACATATTGTGTTCTTTTATCACAGTTCTTATGGCATTGCACAAGCATAATTAGCCAAATATTTTGCCATTTAATTCAATAACAAGGTCATCTACACTTTACTGTGCCTTGAAAACTCAAAATTAGGAGTCCACTTTTATCTTCCTTCTTGTTTAGGCAAGATGGGTAATAAAAATATTAAATGTTGCAGTATCACAAGTTACGTGGCACTCAAAGCAATGTAGTTGATCACATAGAGCAACATGTTAATCAGTGCACAGCAATGAGAGCACCGCCTGTCATCTCTATCATATCCACTCAGCTCTACCATTGCATGTGAAGCAGAAGCAGCCATGGACAATACATAAACAAATGAGTGTGACAGTGACACGATAAAGCTATTATGGATAGCAAAAGTTGAATTTCTTGTAATTGTTATTTGTAACTAAATATTATTCTTCTTTTGATTTTTTCCAGCCTTTTAAAACTGATAAAAAACCATCCTTATCTCACATGCTATCCAAAGAAAGATAGCAGGCCTGATTTTGCCTACAAAGCATAGTTTGCTGCCCTCTGATTTAGATGATACAAATGCACATTTAATCAAAAACATTTTAGTTAAGGTCTCAGTTTTCTAAAAAACTTTATGTTATCACTTCACTCAAGTAACAGAACCATCTCATTTGACATGTTACATGTCTTTCCTGTTATATCTCTGTAGTGTTTTTATTAGAGGTGGAAAAGCCAGACGGAACCTGGAAAGACTGAAGAACTGTAGAGTCTAGAGATTCTAAACATGAAGTTATTGGCTGCTAATTGATGATGCTCTTCATAATATTAACAAGTAATCTCTACACAGACTTTAAGTTTATAAAATACTTGCTTTTAAGCTTCAAAACAACCATGTAAGGTAACATTAATTAATATCCCATCTTACAAATGAGCACCCTCAGACCGTGTCCAGGATCACAAAGGATGGAATAGGAGAGCTGAAACCTAAACCAAGATCTTCTGTCCTAAAATCCCTGCTCTTGTCACTAGACCTCACTGCCATGACTGTGGCCATGTTAGCACTAACCCATTTCATGAAATGGAGACTATTTTACATAGTTACTATTTATCGTACTGTCAACATCCCCACTGTTTCTGTTCCGCTCTTGAATATTTTTTTAATTTGAAGAAAACATGCCAATGTAGAAGGTTTTTAGCACTCTCATAGCTTCATCATGATAGACAAAATAGGACCACATGATTGAGTATCAAATTTTATTGGGCATTTATTTTAATTTTATTGAGGTTGCATTGGTTAATAAAAATTACATAGATTTCAAGTGTACAGTTCTATAATATACCATCTGTGCTTTTAAAGTCCATACTTCTGTCACCTTCTTTCCCACCCTCTGTGCCCCATTTCATAAAATAAGCCACAACTAGAATAAAGACTTAACTTTAAAATCTCCATATCTGAGGGAGGCTTTCTCTAGTTAGCTTAAGGAAACTAGATATCCAAAATAATCTTAGGAGAGCATAGTCATCCCCAGTCTGTTTTTCGAATTTCTGCCTCAGCATGGGGAAGACCTACTAAATACTGTAGTAGTAGCACACTGAAAATAGAGTAGCAGTAAGTCTCATGGAAGGTTACCTCTGTGGCTTACATCACTGTCCCTTGGCTTTGGGGTGGCTGGTCCCCACTGAGACAGCTCTAGTGTTAACTGAAGGTTCAGATATGAACATTAAAGATCTGACCTTAAGACCCAACTCAAATATCACTTCCAGATCTGTGTTCCCTTGGGCAGATAGTTGGTTGTTCCCTTGTCTGTGTCTCCAGAGCACTTCATACATGTCTCTAGTGTAAGACATAAAAATTACATTATAATGATTTGTTTACATGTTTCACTGTACTGTGGGCTTAAAGCCTGGGAACTCGTAAGAGGGCTAAGTCCAGTGAATAGAACAGAGAAATTAAATGAAAGATTGAGTGGCTTAGTCACCCTAGTATAGAAAAACTTGAGTGGAGCAGAAGAGTCTGGGGTTGAAGTGGGATCTTTCTGGGAATGGTCTGAAGTAGCACCTCAGCTTCTAGCCTGATTGAGCTGCTAGTTCTGCACCCACAGCAGGCCAGCCTTCCACATCTGCTTCAGACCCAGGGTTAACGGGGCTGACATTTTATGGAGATGGTAAAATATGGGACACAACTTTTTCCTCTACCTGTCTGCCCTACCATTCTAGTATTTTTCCATATGTATTTCCTACTCTGGGGCAGTGGGGTGTGGGAGGGAGGTGTGGCAGGTAGGTATTCTTAATTTGGGAAGTTATATGGCTAGAATAGAATTTCTAATTAAGATTTTGTTGTAGTGGTTATTATTCTACAAGCATACATTTTAAGAATTATAATTTTTAATGTATAGTTCCCTAACTTAAGCATGAAGAAACACTAGCTAAATTTTGCTAGGATTGTTTAGGAAAGTCAAATTCACATGAATTTAGTTTGCTCTACATTTACATCACCCTTATCTTTTAATAGCAATAGCGTGATTTTCATCGTCCTTTGATATTTAGAAAGCAAGAGCTATGCGTTCAAAGCTCTTCAAGAAAATAAAATTTAATAAAATTTTTTCCTATCAGTCCCACAGGAAACGTGAAGTCTAAAATTGAAGTTATACATAACAAAAGACATGGCTGGAGCTGAAAATATTTATAATATGTACAGGACTCAGTTTCTACTTTATCCTTTGTCTACACTCATAGGATAGCTGGGCATATAACTTTATGAGAAAGCATTCTTCCTAAGAAGTGTGTGAAAGCTAAAAAAAAAAATCAAATAAATCTAATAGTTTTAGAAATAATGAAATCATGCTAACTATGAGGAAACTAGACTGAGTAAAAGTATGTGAAGAAGAGTATTGTGGGAGCACTGCAGAGAGGCTGTTAACTCTGAAAAACTGTCAAGGAAAAAGGGAGTTGTAAAATTTCCCTCTGATCACAAAGAATGCATTGTCTGTACTCTTGCAAAGGGAAGTTGCTGACAGAACTCAACCAGTCCTATGTCCTGCATTATAGGAGAGGAGAGAATGAGTTTCCATTAATGAAAAGCAATGCTTCCAGATCTTTGAAAACCCAAGAATCCCAATATCATTTTTTCCATATGCTTGTTTAGAATAGTTTCTTCTTGTGAAACTTTCAAATATGAATGATTATCCATGCACTGCAGTTGATAGACATCTTTCATATATAAAAGAACGTAGTACAAGTGTTGAGGACAGCAGAAATCAAAGCCATAAAACAAAATACTGTCTCTGCTTCCACTATGGTTTGGTGGAAACCACTTGGAGATAGTGAACATCAGATTCTATACTTGATGCTCATTGTCTAAAACTTTATAACCTACGGTTAAAGGATGATTTCTTTTTTTAAAAAAAAGTAAAATTATGACTCATACAAATATAAAATGAACACATATGAAAGATTTTATTTAAATCATTAATTAATGAAAACTAATAAGATGTTGCAAGCAGTTCAAAGATTTCAAAGTATCACAACTTATGTAGTTGAATCAGAAATGCTGATTAATTTACAAATAGCTGCAAACCTGGCTTTCTCTATTGGGGCATTGGGAGGTCGGGGGGAGGGCACAAACAAATCATGTGTCTCTCAACCAGATAGAATTTTCAGTTCTGTGAACAAAGGTTAAGTCCACTGCTATCAGTTATCTACAGCTTAGAGTTGTAAAATTATCTCAAAGGCTTAAAGCCTCCATAAATCAGATAACCCAAAAGAGTGTGCTAGGTAGACACCGCCTTACTTTTCATCAAATACACTCAGTAATCTCTGGGTCTATTTCAATATCTTTCATAATTTGTCCCTACAAAACTGTATTCATTGTCCATTCATTGTACTGAAAAAATGCCTCTCTGCTACAGGAATCAGATTACTTGATTCTCTCCTCTAGGTTGCAGATTCTTGTTGAAAAAAGCAGCAACCTTTAATATCAACATATATATATATATGTTTTCTGGATAATAGTAATAATCATTTTTAGTGAATGATACTTTAAAAATCTCTTATCGATTATAAACAGGAACAGTTGGAAATATACTGTGATAAGCTTGATTATATGTGAAAGTGATACTAGTCAGATCCGAGATTTGGGACAAAATGGATCTTGGAAGCTGGTGGAACAGGGCACGAGCTCTCAGAATCATACCGGAAGTCTTAGTAGTTGAAGTTTGGGTTCCCAGCAAGAGGCAGAATTCCTGTGTTGCTGCTTGGAAATAAAGGAGCACTTTAAGTTTAATGGTTTCTTGATTTGATCAGAAAGCTTTCTGGAGTTTGGATTGAGAATATTCTGAAATGTTACAGGATTTGCCTAAGTGAAAACACATTGCACTAGTTTCAGGTAAATACTTCAGGGGGCATTTTTGATGGGCCATTTTTTTGCATTCCTTTACATTTTCATTGGATAGTGAAAACAGTACAAAACAAACAAAGTCCTTGCGCTTATTTTCTCTCTTTCTATACAGGCAGTCCTCACTTTGCATGGTGCCATGTTAACTGAAACTCTTGCATATCTGGACTGTGTTCCTGCTTTGCAAGTGGAACCGAAGTAAGGGTTGCCTACTTATACACGTTTTATTAAACAATTGGCTTAAAGAGTACATTTTTCTGTCTTTAGGTTGTTAGACCAGCTTCCGAGAGCCAATGTTGTTCTCCTAAGGTAACTTTTTGGAGTATTACACAACATTGAGCAACAGTCCTCATCCAATCAGATGACTGCATTTAATTTAGTGGTGTGTATCACTCCAAGCATTCTTTGGCCTCCTACTTCCTCCAGCCCAGAATCAGAAAGCGAATTTATAAAAACCTAAACTTTGGGTATTAATTCTGAAATACAATTTCTTAAGTAACTTATAAAGTTGAGTTAAACAAGTATTTTATGCTATCCTGGTAGACTATAGAAAAGAGCTTTCTTAAGCCAAAAAGTGCTAGCAGATGGGTTACTTCTCTTTTCTCTTTAAAGAGGCAAAACACTATGACTGACTAAAACCATAGAGTCATAAGAAAGCAGTCAACATGGTTTAAACAAAGAAATAAGGACTTTGGAGTCAGACAACCCAAGATTCAATTCTCAGCACCATCACTTGCCAGATGTACAATCTTGGGCAAGGCAAAGTTCAGCGATGCAGAGTGTCCTCATCTAAACTATGGAGGTAGTGATAATATGGAGCTCATACAGTGAATACTTGAATTCACACTCAGTAGTGCCGTGCCTGTAATCTAGGATTTAGAGATATTAGTTCCCTTTGTGCCCATCATTCTGCCTGCTCCTTTGCCTCAGCTATTGGGGCAGGAAAACTGCAGAAGGATTCCAGTACATCTGAGTGGAGGCACAAAGCTCCCTAGTGAAATCTTACCTCTACCGTAAGCACCTCCGGTTAGGGAGCCCAATGGAAGGAAATGCATAGATAGAGACCGCTCAAGCAAAATGCAAGTTTTCTCTCCCACTGTCTCTCTCCTTTACAATAAACCCACAGAGGATGCCCTCTTCCCAAGCGTATGGCAAC